GTCGCGTTTTCTACCAAGTCGCGTTTTACAGCCTGTTCAGAAACCAAAAACGCGCCTTCAAATACGCGACTTAAAGTCGCGTTTTCTCACGTAGTCGCGTTTTCGATTCTACAAGATATGTGAAGAAACACGACTTCATAAAACGCGGCTTGATGGCGCGTTTTGATGAGTCGCGTTTTCTGAGCACCTTTTTTTTAAAAAAAAAAAAAATGCAGCTTCCTTGATTCTCTTTTTCTTCTTTTCCTCATATATTTTCTTGTACCTTCAGTTGCTTATTGTGTATTTTCTATAGGTACATCACCACCACAAAGGCTTAGGAATTACGGATCGCCGTTATATGTTTATTAAGCCTTTGTTATCACTTTTGTTTCTCATTTTCCATTTTTAGGTTATATCACTAATGGTTACCAAATGGAACTCATGAAGCGATGAAGACAAGCGAACAACATACCTTGAAGCTTCATATTCAATCACAATAATAGGGGAGTATTATTATTATTATTATTTTTTATCTTGATTTTCCTTCTTACACATTGAGGACAATGTGTATGTTAAGTGTGGGGGGAGAATTGAGATTATATACATTGTATGTGATTGAATTATTAGTTGCAAATATTGGACTTGTGTTAAAATTCAAAATTTTTCTAAAATCTTGTCCAAAATTGCAAACTTGCCCCAAAAAGTTTCATATTTTTTCGATTTTATCCAAGGGGTACCAAGTTCCATACCATTAGTAGTTCAAATTCCTCCTACATTTGAGATAAATATATGTGATTTGGAAACTTCTTTTCTCATTTAACTTGAAAATGACTATTATGTGATTTGGAAACTTTACTGTAGCAGCGTATATGAAAAACTTTTGTATGAGATTTTTTTGAGTTGTTTTTGTTTCTATATTACTGTCGTATTGTATTTGAAAAACTTATTTTTAAAAAACAGGAAAATCCAAATGGACTGATTGAATTAGTTTTCTGTTTGGAGTGATTTTTGTTTGTACTTAGCAGATGCAAGTACGTAAAGATGAAGCACTCACTGCTATTTAACTCGAAACATGTTTATCGCATGATATGTGGGATTGTGTTCAATTCAATTGTTGTTATATTTAAGTTTACATACTATCTAATTCTAAAACTGGATTCTGATTCTAGATCATTTGGCGACTATAGGATTCATATTTAGTATTTTTCTGAAAATTTTCTGCAAGGAGAGCGGAATTATACTAGCTAATAAAAGTGACACTTCACTAAATTTCTAGTATGCCAATTGTGCACACTTTTGACGTGATCAGAACTATAAATGTCTTTAGATTCATGTTGGCTTGTCAAACCAGCAAAAATAAAAGTTCCTACTCTAAAAATATGAATTCGAGTGTAGCGGTGAATAGGGTCGTATCCACAGGGATTGGGTGATTTATTTCTTTGTGAAAAATGGGGGATTAGGAGAAATTAACCAAATAGCTCACTTGAATAAAAATAAAAACAGTATCACAAAATTAAATAAAACTAAATCAAGAAAAGGCAACACTCTAGTCGAAGGTCTAATCTCCACTTTGGTTCATTTAACTGATCATCGATACAAAGGTGAAATCACTTATTCATGAATAAACTGGTTATGATCTTCAACACGCTCTGACAACCTGCTTCGCCTTACTGTTTCGATAACCACAACACGCTCTGTGGCTATTTCTCTTGCCAATTAAGCAACCCTAAACAAGCTCTTAGGATTTAACCTATTGACAGCATTAATAATTAGAGAAGCTACCAATTCTAACTAACAAACACACAAGCTCGGTTCATTTAAGTTAGATTATATATTCCCGTGACATAGATTCGAAAGTTTCTTTTACGATCAAATTACATCACGCGCCACAGATACTAAAACCATCAAACAATTATGGATTTGATATTTTAGATGGCAATAGACTATTTCAACAATTAAATATTGATCAGGTATTTAACTGTAGAAAATAATCATAAACATGGATGGTAGAGAATATATAAATACTCAGAAATAGATGAAGCAAATAAATCAAATTAGATCTCACAGAATTGTCAAACCAAAGCTTCAATTATCCTTCAACTAGAAAAGAAATTAGCCGCTCCTCATGGTCGAGTCGCGGCTACAAGGAATACTAGGGTTTATTGTAGAGAAAAAGAGAAAAAAGAATTAGAGCTAGAGAAAGAATCCGAGCCCACGTCTGTTTTCTCCCCTGTTAATAAGGATGGGCTTCCCTTTTCTTTCTAGGACTCCTACTTAAACTAAACTAACCAATCAAGACCTATCAATTGGTTTCCAAAATAAATTACATCAAGTCATAACCCCTCAAGATATCCACTTCCATGACTAATATGTAAAATCATGGGCTGCAACTGGTTTCTTGATCAATTGACAGATTGATCTCATGTCCTGCGAACTTTTGACTGCTTTGTCAAATAAGGCGTGGGCACGCTTTATAACGAAAGCTCTTCTGGACATGGACCTTTAGAAGCACCACTTCGAGTTTGACAAAGCGTGGGCACGCTTTACAAGACGTCTTTTGCAAAGTCGACTTTTAACGTGCCTTTTACTTCATTCTCACTAACAACTCCTACAAACAAACAATACTAAAATTCAAATATGAGTGAAATATATCGATTAACGCCATATTTTAGCAAAACAAAGGGAAAATATTCACCAATTATATGCACAATTAGCCACTTAACAATTCACCACAAAATTATGTGCCCAACCTTAACAGAAATTAAGCAAAAGTTGCGTGTCTTTGTATAAAATTTGGCCTTTATACAAAATTTTCCTATGTTGAATATCTTTTACTATTTACAGATATTCTGTTAGAGGTATTAAAATTGTTAGACAAGTTTTTCTTTTCCTTTTTTCTTTATTATTTTGTCAAAGTGGGCATTGAGTACATATTCACAGGAACTGAGGCAGACGATGGTTTTGTTGCGTCCTGTTGTAAATTACATATGCTATACATCTCCATCCGTCAGCTGCCAAAGCCCATGTTTAAGCTGTAAAAGTTGATCTTAAGCAATTCACCAGCTCTTCCATGTCATACATGATACAGCTACTACTATGCTCATATATAGTATAGCCTCTTCGAAATGCAGCATGATATATAGATATTACCCAAGTGGCCGAAGAGAATTAAAGTTAGTGATGACTTTTAAACATATTTCAAGAAATTGCATTTAAGTCTGAAGACAATGGGAGCAAAATTTCTGTTGTGGAGCAAACAGTCACTTAATAGCACCATTGGAACTAAACTATCCTATAATTTCAAGGACAACTTGACGGCCGTACGAATCATGCTGTTGTTATTTCTAGGACAACATGACGGCCAATTCTTATTAATTTGCAATATTTAGGGTTTCCAATTTGCATGGCCTCACAACTTCTTGTTGCTTTTACATATATATATATATATATATATATATATATACCAAATTTTCATTGCATTTAAACTGCTATTGTTTCTCTCTTAAAAAAAAAATTCTAATTCCTAACAAATGTCAATTTTGTACCAAATTGAGGTTGTGAGTAAATCATATTTTTGGACGAAATTCGACTAAACAACGGTAAAAATGGAAATTCAGTTTTTTATACTCAACGTATAGTTAAATTTTTGCTACTTTGCTCATTCAAACTTGGCCATCAACAAGTAATACCTATGACGGCAAATTGTTGAATAAGATATAGCAAAAGTATTTTTACTCCAACAATTTCTTGTGTAATTTAAGACACTGCTTCTCTACGATGAGGAAAATATACACACATGTTACACTAGATAATCTATGCACAAAAGAAAGTTATTAATTTCAATGAAAGTTTTTGCCAATTAAGGATGTCAAAAATATAGTAAAACATCCATAGATCTACTGTTTCTTCAGATTGATTTGTTGCACTAAAATGAATAGGATGCTGATTGCTGCACTTACTATTTTCTTGTGATTCAGTAACTTCGCTGACAGTTTTGATTTGCAAGTCTTTTAGGAAAAACTGTTTACATGGAACGGCCTTTTGTCTTGAACGGGTGTTTGTTTGTTGATACTAGTACCCACACATGAAGTCATGGCTCTCTTACGCCAAACATGTTTTATTGCATGATTTGTCATACTATGTTCAACATACCGTTGATTTATTTAGGGTTAATTTCATTTGGCACCCTTAAATTATATCTTGATTCTTCCTTTAGTTTTTAAATTTTTGTGGTGGATGCTTTACTCTCTAAATTCTTAAACTCGTCTCATTTTATCATGTACAAAAATAAAATTATCAAGAGGGCAAAAATCATGTTTTCAATACATATTTATTTTTTAATCTTGTTTTTATCTCATAAAAAAGTATAAAACACATTAAAAAGTACTACAATAAAAAAATATAAGCAAATAAATTTTATTCCAAATGCACTAATTAATTTTATTTCACATTGAAAAAACATAAGCAAAATATATATATATATATATATATATATATATATATATATAAGTCTATAAGCATTAAGAAAAAACACATTGAGTTGCTTAGACTTCTTTGTTGTGGATTATCTAATCTATTTTAGTGCTAAAAGATCGAATTCATAATGTAATTGTATTAAATACATTTAGTAACTATTAAAGAAAAATGTGTATATTACTATGTTATAATTATTATGTGTATTTAAGAATTAGCCAAGGATATTTTGGTTATGAAGGTATATTTTGGTTAAGAATTAGCCAAGGATATTTTGGTTATGAAAAATATACCTTCATCTTAATCTTGTCAAAAGGTTGATCACAAGTGGTAAAGTGTATATATTTCGAGTTTAGGGGGGCAAAGTGTTACAAAGGCTCAAGTTCAGGGGGCAAAGTAATTAAGCCCATAAATTATTCGGCAAATTTATGAACAGTTTTAGCTTGATACATCTCCTCATCCTATGTAGTAGCTTACTATACTTGCCTAATCATGTCTTCACAAATATACGCTTAAATGTGAGAATTCTTTTTTACTTGTACAAAATATTGACAAATATTTGCTTGTTTCATCTAAGAGTGACAAACAACGAGTTGTTAGCACCTGAACAAACAAGAAAAGTAAACTTGAAGTTCTAAAAATTTTTAAATGCAACTATTCTGTAAAAGGAAATGCAAAAGCATAAGTCAAAATCTTAAGGAAAAAAATATACTAAATACTTTGATGTAGAGTGGAATCAATGCTAAATTGTATTGATAAGTGGCAGTCAAGCGTGCTCAGAGAACACATAGTTGTTCTAATCATCCTTAATCCACTTGACAAAGTTGTTGAAATTCTTGCCAGAACATCCGTCTTCTCTAAGACTACTCATAACCTTTGCTTTTAAATCCAGGGCCCTCTCCTTGTAGCCTTTAACAGTGACTAGCTGCTCAATTTTGTTCTTAACTTCTCCTTGTGCAACGATTCCATTTTCATCTTTATCCAATCCTAATCCAACCTTCCAAACATCACATATGTAGCTTCTATTACTGAACTGGTCTGCAAAGTAAGGCCAGTGGAGGAAAGGGACACCATTGCTTACACATTCAACTGTAGAATTCCAACCACAGTGGCCGAGGAAGCAGGCAACTGAAGGATGACTCAGGACCTGCTGTTGAGGTGCCCAAGTGGCTAATCTTCCTCGTCCTTGTATTCGCTCTTTGAAACCTTCTGGATATGCATTATCTGTTTCTGCTGTTAAATTACGCCTCACAACCCACAGGAATGGCATATTGGTGCATTCAAGGCCTAGAGCCAGTTCTTGAAACTGTCTGGTCAAAACTGTGAAGCTTCCAAATGCAACATAAATGACTGATTGGTCCTTCACCTGATAATGACTCAATGACTCGTCTGTGATCAAATTCCGTGTTCACAAATGTAACCTTGATACCACTCTTGACTAGGCACAGGGCAAGTTCCATTAGGGGAAGTACATGACCTTGTGCTGGATAAGGTATGGCTAGTACATGTGGAATGCCCATATTGTTTCTTCAACACTACACTGCCACTAATCTCCATATACGTGTCCCTATTTATATGTTATAATTCATCTTTTTTCTAATTAGGTAAAGGACCCATGGCACATCAAATGTCTAATGACCAATATGTGGTCAAGTTTTCCTGAGCCTCTCATTTTATACGGTGCCCTTTGTCTTGAATGTACCTTTCTTTGTCCGATTTTGGTATCTGTCAACGTTTTCCACAATCTTGGAATTGTTGCTAACCATTACTTTTAGATTGAAATAAAAGCTGAAGATGGATTGCAAGGGACAGATTGAGATCGAAGACTTTATTATTTTAATTTTCACCATAATTGAAAGGTATGTTTCAGTTTTGTAACTTCGTTACCATGATTGATATTTTGAGTTAAAGTTTCTGCCTCAAGAGAATCCAAGACCAAATTCTGTTGAAACTCCTAAAAAAACTCATGATATTTTTAAAAAGTGAATAAATTTTCTTTCTTTGAAATGTTTGGATGCATATACTTTTAATTTGAAGGGGCAAGCTTTATACCAATTTGAATGTTGTAATTAATGGAAAATCTTTAAAAAATTTGTGTGGTCGAAACTTTTGATAGGAATGACGACTCATATTGTACGGGGAGTTGCCATTTTTGTAAGACTTGATTGCCCCTCACTGCCTTCTAAAAATTTTGTGAGATCAAAAGTATTTGGGAATTTCGCCAATTTGGTCCCTAAACATTTTCACTTAAATCAATTTCGTCCTTGATGAAATATTTTAACCAATTTAGTCCTTGAACTAGTTTTTTACTTCCAATGTAGGACTTTTCACTGCATTTTACTCAATTTGCGTGGACCAACGGGGGTATAATTGTCACACTGGTTTAATCTTTTGCAATTAACCGACGAAACAAATTAGAGATGATTACAAAAAGGGGGCGGGCATTCTCCAGGGAAAAAGAAAAGAGGAGGAAAAGACAGTCGTGCATGTTGTGAGGAATACTGGGTCACCTGTTGCCGAGAGATGCATGCAGATTAATTATCAGTTCTTCCTCTTCTGCAGTTATATTGCCTCGCTTCAAGTCAGACCTCAAGTAGTTGATCCATCTCAATCTGCAACTCTTCCCACATCTAAGTAGTCCTTCAAGCGATCAAAATGGACACAAAAAAGGTATTAATTCCATACTCAAAGGCAGGCCTTGTTGCTGATATGATAATAATGGAGAACTCAAATAACTATAACTTGGTGAAATTGTTTGTGAACGAAGATAGCAGTATCATGTGCACAGGGGTACTTGCGTTCTGAAACAATTTAGGTAACATCTTAGATAGCAGGGGATAGATTATTCTTCCCATCGCTTGAATCATCAGATCAGATTAGAATCATTAGCGAAGCAATGAAAATGGTCTAAGATGCAATTACAACTAAGATGGAGGAGGTGAAACAGGGGACACAGGGGATAGGCAAAAGGTCAATAACCATTGCCCAAACAGGAATTCCCCTCTAGTAAACCTTACAGGACTGACTAATCCCAGCATTACATCAGTATGACTATCATGAAACCTGAAATCTTCAATGTCCTTCAAGCAAATTTGAATCTAGACAAAAAAGGCCGAACTAAAAATATCATACCATAGAAAATGTTCGTTCCAAGAAAAGTTCATCCCACTGCAGATAGCTAAAGTATAACATATTAGTTTACATCTCCTGATCAGGTAAGCCCTGAATTGCATTAGCACTAGTTCCAACTGCAAAGATTTTCACCGCCATTCTAAATCAAAGCGAATTGCTGTGTGGAAATCACCAGAGTCGCTGGAATGCAGCAAAGTCTTCTGGTCGAAAAGCTCAGGCTGCCACTCATCATGTAATATACTCTTCTTCAAGATTGCAACTTTGACATCTTTCAGATCTTTCAGCCAAAGCTTTTAAGTTTCCTGCAAATTCAGATGGTCTTGATTTCTTCTGATCATCAGAAACTCGAGGAGGTACTGTGTGAAGTGAATAGTTCCATGAAAACACCACTCCTGTTGTATGATTCAAGGACAAAAGAACCGCATCCATCCATCTAGAAAAGCTGCAGAAACCTTCCGTCCTTGCCGTTGAGAAAATTTTATAGATAACTCTTCAATTTCAAGTCTAGGATCCATTGGACCGTCTTTAATCTCATTGAGATCAACTTTTGCAGATGCAGAACAACTTTTGCAGACCGTCTTTAATCTCTAGAAAGTGGACGGCTGAACAAGATGAAATCTTGACCGAGTACATGATCTGAAACCTGAAGAATAATGGGAAGAGCCCCTTGCTGTGAGATAGTGGGCATAAAGAGAGGGAGGTGGACGGCTGAAGAAGATGAAATCTTGACCGAGTACATTCAATCTAATTTGTTTCGTCGGTTAATTGCAAAAGATTAAACCAGTGTGACAATTATACCCCCTTGATCCACGCAAATTGAGTAAAATGCAGTGAAAAGTCCTACATTGGAAGTAAAAAACTAGTTCAAGGATTAAATTGGTTAAAATATTTCATCAAGGACGAAATTGATTTAAGTGAAAATGTTTAGGGACCAAATTAGCAAAATTCCCAAAGTATTTTATATCTAAAGAGTGAATTCGAATAAAGAAATCTTTAAAAAAATCTTGTAAGATCAAAGTTTTTTATATATAAAGAACCAATTCTCATATTTTACGGGGAATAAACAATTTTCTAGAACTTGTCTGCTCTTTCACTGTTCTCTAGATCCGTCTATGGTCCTTAATGTATTATGTGATTTTATATGATTTTCGTAAAAATATTCTTTTCATCTCTCACTTTTAAAATGAAACAAATTCATCTTTAACATTTAAAAATTGAATCTATAACATCTCTCAACCCAAATTTCAATATGAATCAAACCATCTAGTAATCTAGTAATAAATTTCAAGGATAGAATTGATAGATCATTCGGTCAACTCCATCACATTCACATAACATTTATTGAACCAAAAAAGGAAAAAATTAAAAAATTATAACATAAAAGGCCGTTCTTTATTTTGGAATAGTAGGTTTCTTTTTTAAAAAAATTCTTTTTATATACTATTAGAGTATACACTTACGAGTTTAGATGTTATCATACATACACAGTTTGGTGTTTAAATTTAAATTGAAATGATGTGGCAAGTATTTAGACCCATCAGTGTATAAAATAACAATGTAGGAAAAATTAATCCTTCTTTTTATGTTATAATTCTTTATTTTCCTTTTTGGGTTCATTAAATTTCATGTGAATATCAAGTTGAGTTAACCAAATAATCTACCAATTATACCTCCGAAATTTGTAATCGGGTTGTTGGTGGTTGGATTCATATTAAAAGTTGACTTTAGGGATGTGATAGTTTCAGTTTTTAAATGTGAAAGATGAATTTGTTTCATTTTAAAAGTAAGAAACAAAAAAAATATTTTTGTAAAAGGTAAGGGATGAAAATGATCATTTTCCCATTTAGTTTTGTCTGATTACTTTGTCATTGTGCCCCCACTGACATTTTAGGTGTTGGGTACTAGAAACTTTATATACTTAACCAGATGACTTGTACAATGTCCACGTGGACGTATCTATAAGCGATTTGATAGCAATTCTTTATTAAGAAAGCAAAAGAACAGATATAATTTATTAGTTAATGATTCCTACGGTGCAAGCCCAATACATTAAGGAGTACAATTCGCTAGTGAGTTTTTCTATACACAAAAATTCTTCGTACTCAAACGAATTCCTTATACAATATTTGAATGAGTTGTGGTCAAACGAGTTTGAATTTTAACCGCATAGGTAGAGGCATGCTAGAAATGTGGAATATTGTGTAGTTTTTTTAAAACTTTAGGTACAATTAAGAGTAGCATGTGTTTAGCTATATTTATCGAAATGTCCTCATTTTGATACATTTAAAATTTTGATTTATGGAGACATCTAGCTATTTTTGGAATGTAAAATTATTTTGCAATCGTTTTTGCATGGAGTACAACTCATATAAGATTATGTGTTAGTATAATTATTGAAATGGTGTTATAGATATATTTAATTAAAGTGTGGCTTTTGTTGTGTAATTAGCACATAGATATATTAATGCGTTGTGTAATTAACACGTTGTTATAACTAACCATTGGAGGATATTCCTTTGTTTGAAACAACTTCTATCTGCTCTTGGACTATTTTCAAGTGACATTTGTAAGGGCCTTTTGGGAATGGTAAATTGTAAAAATATTGATAAAATAAAGTGTACAAACGTGTGCTACAATTAGAATGTACTATTATTAGTTTTATCATATTTGATGATTATTATTTTCCAAAATGTACTATTATTTATCCAATGAAAATTTTTTTCTAACCACAGGCACTAAACATCCACGCGATGCACGGGCACTCCCCTTAATATAGGATATTAATGGGAGAATTATAGGATATTAATAGGGTCCTCCCATTCTCTTATGATAGTTATTAAAAATAAATATTGCTACTTGCTAGCTACTACTTGCTATAAATAAATTTATGCCCCCACTGAATATACTATCCTAGCTCAGCCCCTGGTAACACCACCTTTAATCTTTTAATCAGCATCTTAGAATGTAACACTCTGAGTAATATATTGAACAAGCAGTAGGACTAAAATATCCTTCACACTTGCAGGGTTTAAGACCAAAGTAATATCCTACACACTCCGCTACTATGCTACCATCTTTCCTTTAATTCTTGGTCCCCACAACCTGCGCTCCAATCTTGATGACTTTGCACTTCATTTCAATTTCTGTAGCCCAAATTGACCGAAACAGAGCATTAAAGCTCTACTTGTGAACAGGTCAAAGGATCAAATTTTTTGACCTGCATTTTAGGATCCGAGCTTTTTTAAAAATATTTTGCCAGTCAGTGCATAAGTACCTATCTGAACCGGTGGTAGTTCACCGACTTTCCCTCAACCTCTCTATGTCCTCCTCCTTAGGCATGGCCACGGTTCCAGAACCGCCGGTTCTGGTTCTTCAAAGAGGTAGAACCAAAACCGCACCATATAAGATGGTTCTGGTTCTAGTTCCAGAACTGCCGGTTCTGGTTCTTCAAAGAGGTAGAACCAGAACCGCATAATTCTGATTTCGGTTCCTTATGGTTCTGGTTCTAGTTCCGTATGGTACCCTACAATTTTATTTAATTCTTTATCCTGACCAATTTTAATATGAATATAACAATATATTTAAAATTTCAAATAGAATGTAGAAAAATAAATACAAAATAAAGATCATATTTTAATTTTATTATTATTCTACAAAGTAAGAAGTAATAAATAGACAATACAAATTTTATGAAAAGTACATTACATTGTCAAATTAAAAAATACATTACACTATCAAATGGTTGTCATGTGTTGATTTTATTGAGTTGGACAATCATTAATGTTGAAGATTTCATTTGAAGAAATATTGCAAAAAATATTTTTTTGCTTGCTTGATTTTGAAGATGAGCTACTACCATCAAAACTTGCCATTTTTTATAGCAAATAAGCAAAAAAGAATTTAATAATTTAATACTTACAAATTATAATGATAGATATTAGACGAATAAAAATAATTAAATAATTAGTAAAATATATAGAAAGTCCATAAAATTTAAACTTTCTTAAAACCTATTAAACACAATTAATTTTTTTGAATTATCTCACTACTTATATTAATTATTTTTAATGGTTCTAGAACCGGCGGTTCTGGTTCTAGTTCTATTTTTAAGAGAACCAGAACCGGAACCTTTATCCAAGGTTCTGCCACGGTTCTGGTTCCAGTTCTGGTCCGGTTCCAAACGGTCCGGTTCCGGTCCGGTTCCCAGTTCCAAATGGAACCATGGCCATGACTACTCCTCCTCCTAATATAGAGTAGGAGTAATTGTAATATAAAATTTATCTTGTTGATAAATAAAAAAAAGATTGACCAAAATAGAAATTTCTTATAAAAAAATACGTAAAACAGCAACAACTATAAATGCACTCAAAATAATAACGCAATATAAGGACCACGATAATAAATGAGTTAATCCGTGGCGTTGCTTTCATGAATGTGAAAAAACCTCTATAGCTAATTCTGGACTTTGTTGGCACATTTCCAACCATGAACATGGGAGTATCGTTGGTCAAGTTGTAACTTGTAAGACCCCCAAACGGGTCACCATTCAAAGAAAAGTAATATAGCATGAATTAGTCAAATAAGACTTTTTTTTTAGCCAAATAAGACTTATTCAACCAGTTTTAGGTTTATTTAGATCCATGTTATTTCAAATAATATTTCGCTTGCATCATAAAGTAATTTCTCACATCTCATCTTTTTTTCAATCTCACACCTTGAGAAGGATTCAATTTATATTCTCATATTTTTTTAGTTCCAAAACCCATCTTAGGTCGCGTTTTGGTTTTGTGTACCCATGCTAATTTAGGGGCTCAAAGCGGCATCACAGCTCAGTTGGTGCCCAAGAGAAATAGCAGAAAATTCTAGTAACATGTCCACTAGAAATTGTACAAGCAAAACTCTAAATGAAAACCAGAAAGAAGCAAAATCACACTGGTTAAGTTGATAGATGAATATAATCAATCAAACACTGCTAAGGAGCTACACAAAGCACCACCTCATTCAACACCGAAGTCGCCTGGCCAGAACATCCGCCTCGGTTAAACACTCAATCTTTCTTTGCTGCCTCTTGACAATACCTTTTTTTTCTAGAATTATACTGAAATTCAACCCATAATATACCCTGACGAAAATAAACCACCCCAATCTTGAAATAATTATTTTTAATTTGACTCACTAATATGCTTCCCATAAATTGCCCTGAAGAAAATGATTATTTCTAGTCTTGTAACTAACACATTAAGTCCTTGAGTTTGAACATTCAAGTTAGGCTTGTTGATGTATTAAGAAATTTTGTTTGGACAAGTTGGACACTTTCCATTTTTTGATGAAAATTTTTCTTCCAAACTGAGCCTGATATTGGCAGTGGCTTAGCTCAGCTCAAGCTTTGAGCAACTTGATAAAAGGCTTGAACCGAGTTTGGGCCAAAGTTATTTCACTTGAAAGTTCATTGAACTGAATAAAAAAAGGTACACAGTCTTGTACTTTCGTTAATCATTATGGCCACCTGCCAATAAATTCAATTTCAGAAAAGATTACAGTTATATACTCGAGATCAATTAGTGAACATGAATCGAACCATAGGTGCTCAATTGATTTTCAATTTAAGTTCGAGCCAAAAATTTAAGTCGAAATTGACTCGATTAAAGGTGCGTTTGATAAAACTGAAATCTGAAATTTAAATTTATTAATTTATTAAATTATTAAATATTAAATCTAGTACATTTGAGTGCATATCACATTTAGTAATAAGCGACTAGCTTACC